TAGCACTGAATACATTTTATTTTAATAAAACTCCACATATGTATTAATCAGGAAACACAAGTCATAAAGCACTTTCACTTAAGGATGAAAATGTCAGATGCAGCACGTGTTAAAAATACTACTTGACAAGTAAATATAAGTAATGACAGGTGGAGGCTCATTATGACAGGACATGGGGGGAAAAGCAGTCTAGGAATGAACTTCATGGTTCACAAGGTAAAAGGAATCCACCCCATGAGGGACATAATCCCTTCATGTTTTTATTCTCCATCTTTGCCATTAATCAAATTCAGTAAGAGCAAGCAAGCCAACAAGTTAGGCCAGGTGTTTGGCCCATTTCCAAGTAAGGTGTGATAGAAACTGTTATAGAATCTGATTAGCTAGTTTACTCTAAGACTGCCAAGCAGTTTACTGCCAAGCAGTCAGGGATCGTGTCGATTCACTTCTGAGCTTAAGTGTCCTGAACTATAAAACAAGGTGTGGATGAGATAAAGTGTTTCTGAGATGCTTTCCAACTGTAAAATTCTGTGAGTTTGTTATTTATAAATCATAGAAAGATGTGTGGCCTACTGTAAATAGAAGTGTCTTGACCAGGCCAAGACCCAAGATATTTGAATTTTTATCATTTATTGACTGTTATTGGCAATGCATGTTTTTATTGAGTGGTTAGTATAGCTAAAAAATAAACCACAGGAAGTTAATTTCTTACTTTCTACAAAAAGAAAACAATTAGCCATGCATATTACATATGATAACATTTTTCTGACATATTAGTAACAAATAAAAGTTTATTAATATTAATCTTCGTTGATCAATACTGAATACATTTTTTTAATATAACCACACATATGTATTAATCAATCAGGAAACACAAGTTTACTTCCCTTCAAGTTACTGTAATTTTACAAGGGAGACCAAAGAAAAAAACCCAGCATTTATTTATCAGAAACTGTGATTTATTCATACGTGTTTAAACTTAAGTCACTTTCAGTGTACTCTCCATTTGATACAATACACCTGTCGAGATGCTTTTTCTACTGTTCAAAACAGTTTTTGAACTTATCAATTTGGATGCCTTTTAGTGTTTTAGCCGTTTCTGTTTCACCTCTTCCACATTGGCAAGACATTTCCCTATGAGAACTTTTTTCATCCAGTGAAACAAAAAAAAGTTGCTCGGGGCAAGACTGGGTGAATAGGGAGGGTGGGGCACAAGGATCATGCTGTTTTGGGTCCAAAACTGCTGAACACTCATCTCAGTGTGGGCGGGTGCATTGTCTTGGTGGAGAACTAGTCACCTGTTTGCCACAACGCAGGCCATTTCTTCCACAAATCGTGATACAACCTTCTCAAAACTTCTAGATAAAAACTTCGGTTGACCCCTTTATCTGGAGGAACAAATTCTGAGAGTACTAGAAAGAGCTCACCCTCCAAAAGATAATTCCAGGGATTTTTTTGGGGGGGGGTGCCTTCAATTTGGAACCTCAGATTTTCCTTAAATATCCTCCATAGTTTTTTTAAAAAATTCAGCATCTCCTCAAACGTTCAGTAAATACATCAGAATTTTAAGATGAGGAAACTTCCAGGGTTCATATGTCTTAGTCATCTAGTGCCCCCTGAGCTGCATCAGTGTGACTCTATCTCAGAATACCTCTTAAGGAGACAGGCTTACTCAGTACAGAGGTAGGGGTGGAGAGGGAAGCAGGGAAAGCCAGAAACCCACACTGCTTGTTATGAAGTAGTGAGAAGAGCTCTCCCTTAGCAGGGTAATGTCCTCTGGATCCTGTTTTTATCCTTCAAAGTGCAGTATTTTTACTTTACATTACAGTACTCTACATAGTTACCAAAAGAAGAATATAGTATATTTGCTAATGGACAGATATTGCTATATAATTGTCTCCCTGCCCCCTTATAACATTGTAAAAAAATAATCCTAATAAAAGCACTGTACTATCACAGTTTTTTAAATGTTTTAAATTTTTATTAAATAAAAAATGCTACAGTAAATATGGGACTCTACCTCTAAAGTAAAAGAGAAGGGGGCCTGCTGGAAAGAGGTGTACAGAAAAGTTTAAAGATAGTATATAATGAACAACAAATAGCCTTCTGGCTTTACCAATTCCTAAAATTTTGGCACGTTTGCTTTATCTCTCTTACCATGACTCTGTATCTGTTTCTCTCTCATTTTGTCTCTCTGGCTAGTTTATTAGTATCACACAGAAGAAATTTAACATTTATAAAATATAATCATCTAATATATTAACCATATTCATACTACCTCAAATGTTCCATAAATATCCTCCATAACATTTTTAAAATTCAGCATTTAATCAAATATAATACTTTACAGCTGTTGACATGTCTCTAGTCTTCTGTAATGTTCCACATTTTTTTCATAGAATTGTTTGTAAAGATTAAGCTAACTGTCTTGTAGAGTGTTCCACGGTCTGAATTTATCTGATTGTTTTCTCATAATTTAGATTAAGATTAAATGTTTTGGGAAGAATACGGAAGAGATGTTTTTTCCTCCATTGCTTACATCTGGAGGCATGAAATGTTAGCCTGTTTGATTATTGGTGATGTTAAGTTTGGTCACTTGGTTAAAGTAGAGACTACTGCTTGTAAACGTAAATGTACCTCTGAAATTAAACGTTATCAGTGATCAAAGATTATCTTGTTCAACAACAGCCTTTCATCAAATACATTTATGTATTTGTAATCCTTGCCAGAATTTGTTATTACCTTAGTGATTGCAAAATTTTGATTTTCTACTTGTAAGAGATGTGTTAAATTTCTTTTTAAAAAATTGTTCCCATAAAATGGCCCTTAGTTATAGTAATTATTTTCTCTTTTGATTTAGGGTGTTGTGGGAAATATGTGAGAGAATCAGGTTCAAATGTTTTCACCTTTAAGATTAAGCATTTTAAAAGTTCTACAAGAGCTAAGCCCAGAAAAATTAAGAAGAATGTTTATCAGCTATGTCAGTAATTAGATTTAGACAATTAAGCTTCTGATATTAGCTCTGTAGTTGCCCCACTTCCTATGATGCAGTTGGGAATTATTTTTTTTACCTTATAACTACAGTTAAACCCTGTATGAGTCAGTATGTTTCTGTTTTTACAGAGGAAGTTGCTGGACATTCTAAGAAGCATAGCATGAAATTTAAGATGTAAGCAAAAAATTAAATTACATTCACTCAAGTTTCTATTATTGAGGATTTATTCCTTGAAAGTTTTCATTACTTGACCTTGGTAGCATATTTTAAGCACAGTTCCACAGCATCATTAGAAGCCTTTTTAAATCTGTTTCACTATTTTGAACATTGAACATAGTAGAGACAAAGCTAACTCACATAATTAGTGGTATAACATCCAAAAAGAATCTTGAAGGATAAGATTCTATGTCTTATTAGCAAGCTATGAGATTATTCCTAAGGGTTGATTATCACTGGCGCTCACTCTTACCAGCTAAGTTGTTTTCCTTCAGAATTAGAGGATGACCTCTACCTGACAGTCATAACTACATTTTAAAATATTTTTAATTATGATTTTTTACTAATTCAGAATTGCTTGAATTTATAAGTCCTAGCAATTTCCAAAGCTTAAAGAGAAATAGAAATTTGAAGTGTAGAAGTGTAGTAGAAATATTCATTTTTTTTTTTTTGCCACAACGTAGTGGGTTGCATCATTATTCTGCATTTTAGCTTGTCCATCTGTCTCATAAAAAGAGTTTCTATTACAGTTTTTAAGGAAAGCTGCCTTGAAATTATGTTTTTCATAAGCAACAAAGATTTTATCGGAGAAAAATCATTGCTATACCCTTTGGTAGAAACAGTAACTATTTATGGGAAAAAATAAGACTTTGATATTTATTTTTTGGGTATTAGGCTGGCACTTGATTATTACTTCTTAAAAATATCTGGGTACCAGAAAGTGCAGGGCACAGTAAAAGGTCTGGAGAAATTGTTGTTAACTAACTTAGCACCTTTGCTGTTTGAATAGTTAGGGAATATTTTGTGGATTTATATTTTTTTAGCAAAACTTTTTTTATAGGGCTGAAATTGAGACTATTTTTTAAAAGGCAATAACAATATTTTTTCAGATTATGCTATAAAGCCAGTTCTTTTATTTTAGTGTTTGCCAAGCTGGTATAAAGAGCACTGTTGATCTGTTAGGCTGAAGGGTTATATAAACCCTAGATGACTTAACATTTTAGTGTCAAAGATAAGTAGTATTTCTGGTTAGTGATATACATGTTTTTCTTCAGATAGTGTAGATAATATGTGAGCATTGTCTGATGAGATCCTTAGAACATTATTGTATGCTTTTGGAAAGTATAATTTTTAAACAAAACGGGAAACAGAGGCACATGCTTTACCCAGCTGTCACAGAATCAAAAAAACACGTTTATTTAATTATTTAATGTTTTAACCAATAGACACAATTATTTTTCTGTTTTCTTCATTATATTTGTTTGTCTTCTCATAGTTATTAATCATTGTTTTGTAAAATCTGGTTTGGTTTGATTCCTTTTCTTGTAAATCTACCACTTGAGCTAATATAGCTAAAGCATCTGACACAAGGCAGAATTGTCCTCTGATCACAGCTCTTGTTGCTATCTCCATCTGTTGGTATGAAGAAGTAGTGCTCTTGCCAGAGGAAGCAAGCTTATTTTAATTTTAGCAAAAACAAATTAAGAAAAAAGGAATTGTGCTGTTGGTGCATTTTCTTTCTTTGTGACAAAGTCAGTTGGAAGGTGCAAAACTATCACAGAAAGTCAGCTATTACGGACAAATTGCCTATTTTTTAAGGTTTCTTGTAGTGATATTAAAAGTGTCAAAGAGTTATTCAAAAATTAATGTATTAACTATGCCTAGATTCTTTATGACTTGTTCCTTAGAGAATTACAGAAAATTACAAATCATCTCAACTTTGTTCTTCAGTGTGGGGTCAGGCACCATTGTGCAACAATATTTTAATAGTGAGAAATCTCAAAAATCCTGACAGTCTTTGCATATTCACAGTTTCGTGGGCTTTTGCATCATTGCTTCTGAATTGCTAATGAAGAGCTCAATATAGCTTCTGATGCATTTCAGATATTCTGGGTGGTGACTGGCTAGAGTGTTACTGACATCACAACATACAGCTGTTGACTTTCTATTGTCTCTGAGTCCTCCTCGGCAAGTGCTTTTAGACTGCTCTAGCAGGCACTCCCAATGCCTGACTAATCAGCTGGATGTGTGTGCGGAGAGCTCTGTAGAGGAGCAATGCAGAGCATCAGTTTACAGATACTATGGAAAGTACATCTTCATTAACTCTGTATGATGAAGCAAATACCAATACAATGAAGGTATGTGACTCTTAATTTATTTGCTAAATTTGTATAAAAGGTAATAAAATATTTGAAGAATTACTTGTGTTCACTTAGTACCTTAATTTTTGTTAGAGGTATGTGTGATAAAATCCTTGTCATGTTCAAAATAAGAGCATTTTTTAAATGGTTTTTGTTTATCTTTGCAAAGATACATTTGTATAGGTTGATAAAACGAAAAGTAGGTATCATTTACTTATCCGCTGTAGCACCAATTTGTTCTCTCTTACCCCTCCGATTTTCAGTACTTCTTATGCCTTGCTGATAGAACAGTTTGCCTGTGTGCTAATTGGTATTTGTGTATAGCAGGACAAATTGTTAGTTAGAAAAATCACTTTTAGCTTCATCTTAAAACAGACATGCTGCATGGTTGTTCAATTTTCAAAATTTTGTTGTGGAATAAATACAGTGTCAATGAGACTCTTTTGGAAATTAAGAAACTAAGAACCTTGACTTTAAAAACTGATGTTAATTTTTATGTACCCTTTTTTGGGGTAAGAGGTGGAATAATTTTTGAACAGCTTATAACAGCAAAGCCTAGATCTGTCATTGCTATGATTAGCATAATCAAATATCACATCTCAAAAGAGCAAATGCTAATCAAACTATGTAATTTTTGAGGAGTATCTCGTTTCTAATTATATAGTCTTAAAACTTTGACATTTACTTTAATATTTTGATTCCTCAAAACTGGAATCTCATCATATAAGTGATACTGAATAACTGAAAAATGTACATTAGTGTATAACTGAATTGTCTGGAAGGTTTTTGAGAGTTTTTGCTTTTATCCTGGAATTAGCTAAAATTTTAACAGGATTTTGAACTGCTATATTTTGAATTCCTCCCCCTTCATAAATGACACAATTATTTTGTTTTATAACTCATCTCTCTTTGGAAGAGATAGGAAGAAAATCACTAAATGGCCTTTTATCACTGCTAAATATCATTGCTCTTTCTTTTGTCTGTTTCTGACTCTCAACTGCGTAAGTAATTGGGGTCATGAAAATATTAATAGCTATTGTTAAAATTAGGGTTTTTTATCAGGTGCATGGTTTCAACCTAATGCCAAGAGAAATTCACCATTATTTCTTTTTTAAGCTTCAGATTTTGTTTTATATTGAGAACTAAATGAAAATAAGCAACACATCCTCTCTATTCTTACCTACAACTGCTTTTATCCATCTTTTGTCACATTCTACTTTTCTCTTTTATATACCTTTCCTCATTTTCATTTGTTCTTTCATGTAGGTTTCCGTTTGTCTGCCACCTTCCCCTCCCTCTCTTTCTGTTTGACTTTCTGAGGATTTGTTCCTTCTCCATTTATATCTTCTTTCTCCCTCTCCCCACCCATTTCTGTCTCCTTTTCCTTCTTCATTTGTCTTTCCCACTTTGTCTTAGTCTCATTTTGCTCTATCTACCTGGTGTTGTCTCAGGTCTCTCCCTTTTTCCCTCTCTGATTGAATCAGCCTTAACATTTCTCTTTTCTTTCCTGTATGTCTCTTTCTCTTGTTTCTGTCTTTCCTTTTTTGCCCATCCCTCACTCTCCATCTCCCTCTCCACGTCTGTTGTCTGCCTCCCTGACTGCTGTTTCTGTCTGTCTCTTTTCAGCCTGTCTCTCTCCCTCTGGGTGCTCTGCTCCCTTTCCCACCCTACCCCCAGATTTCTCTCTCTTTCCTGTCTAAGCTTCACTTACACACATACATTCTTCAAATTTTTATTCTCAGGCAGGTTTTCAGTTTTCACTGGAACCTACTTCAGCACTTGACTTTTAATTTTGGGGGGTTAATTAATAACTATTATTAAGTACATTTTAATTTATGTTAAACCTTGCACTTTCTAAATAAACTACTTGGTAAATAATTAAATGCCATATTTTAAATAAACATGGTATACCCTTTGCTTGATTTTGTTTTTTTTTTAATTTTTAGAAACTTGTGCTTGAGATCTTATAAGTGGGTTGAAATTACCACATATTGAAATCATTATTTAAAGCATTTTGTTTGTCTCCAGAAATATACGTTAGGGAATTGTTTTCCTCTTAAAGGATTTTTCTGTTCATTTTTAAGAGTTATAGAAAGCCGTTAAAATTTTTTCCTTTTCATGATACTTAAGATAGTATCCCACTTCATAATTATATTCCAGGTTATGGGTAAACTTGTATTTTTTAACACTTGCATGGCCTTTTTTATACCGTCTGTGCTTTTCAAATCTTTTAACAGTGAATGTATGCTAGGATGTTCTTGTTTTGTTTTTAACTTACTTTGAAATTATTATAGATTCACAGGAAGTTGCAAAAATAATACAAAGAGGTTCCATGATGTTTTAAAATTGTTTTCTTCAAGATTTTGTATTTTGTATCTCAGTAATAAAAATAGTCTGAAGAACAAAAGCAAACTTAGCATTTACCTGCTTACATAATCGCAGACCTAACGACTTTTCTCATATTGTTTTCCTTCCATTTTATAAAGCAGATTAAGACAGCAGTTTGATGAAGGCATAGTACGTAGTAATAGCACTGTGGCTGTGTGATAGCTGACATCGAGCTATTAGGAAAGAAATTAGACTGGCAGGTATCAAGTTATATATGTGAAGTATATTCCAGACACAAGGAAACATGTATTAGATGAAAGTCTTTTCAGGGCTAAATTAAATGTCATTTTCACATATGGCTCTCCTTCCTTTTAAATGATGTGGCACTTCTTATTTCCACTTTCTTTTGATGTCTCTACTGCTTTATGTGGTTATCTTCTCTGTACTATGATCATACTCTGGTTGTATGAGACACAAGGTAAGGATTAAATAGAACCCAAAAAAATCATCACTTGTGTATATCTTGCCATACCTCCACAGCTGACCAACCCTCATTCTGATTGATACATGTCTTTAATACAGCTAATATAATAATTCTTATTTTTTCCAAACTAAGTTCCTCTAAGCCTTAGAGTTACACAGAAGTACTTAATAAATAGAGAAAAGCCTGAAACCCAGTTGATATCTCTCTGCTTAACCTCATCTTCTCACTGGAACAAAGCAAGTTTATATACATATATATTTTCAGGACTAAGTTCTCCAGAAGCGTGTACACGAATCCTACTTAACAACTCTTATTTTATATTTTATACACACATGCATTCTCTCTCACACACACTCACACACACACACACACACACACACACACACACACACTATATAATAAAATAAATAAACTTGGATAATATAATCTACCACATCATGTAATATACAAATCTGTCACATATAAATATATTATGGATGTCATTTTGTTATGAACATATTTTTTATATATGCATGCATGCCTAACATATGTATTTAAACATATATATTTATATACAAGATAAACAAGGGTTGTTAATAGAATTCATGTGCAGTCTTCTGAAGAACCAAGAAACCCCCAAAGGCACATGTAAAACTGTCTGTGAACATACATGTGTGAGTAAGCACATGTGCAGGCTGTATTTCTGAGGTGAGAATCCTTGGGTTTAATAAGATTTTCAAGAGGGATCTTTTCATGACCTAAAAATAGTTGAGAATTACTGCTTTATAGTGTTTATAAGTCATTGCTCAATCTGCTATGTTAATTTAAAATTTTCTCTCTTTTCATTTATTTTCAAATGCTTAGAAAGCTATGTGGTTGCCTCCTGCAATGGCAGGCACTTCCGCAGACACAGTTTTTTCAAGTAGTTTGAAAATATGCAGTGACTAATTATCAAGTCAGCAAGGTAAGATAGCAGAATATTTTATTATCCTGGTACTTTCAAAGTGCTGACTAAACCCCAGCTCCCTTAACAAGTAGAAAATGAATGACAACAAAAATTGAAGACTATATGCCCCCATTGAGCTCCAATGAGACAAGTGTAAAGAAAGCAAAAGAAATGTATTAAATGTTATTAATTACTAAAACAATTTGATATAGACATAGCTAGGAAATAAGGAAAGAAAGCCATAAAAAAGTCAAATCTAAAATGTGTTAGACCCTTTGAATTTTTTCACTTTGTGCAAAGCCATAGGAAGTTGAGCCAATTAAATTGTACAGAACTTTAGGTACTTTACAGAGAAGTTATATCTGCTAGCTCTTCACGTAGTGTACAGTGTGAACTTCGAGAGACCGTGAGCTTCTCAGCAGTGTTCACCAAGACCCAGCAGCAGCACCTTGAAGCTGTAAAATTGCTCGTACTTTGTTGTACACATCCTTTTATAGAGTATGAAGGTAGGCGATGGCAACTGAAAGACAACACCTGTTCTATCTCAAGCTGTTTTTAAGCTATTTTTACTGACCATGAAATGCTCTTTGAAAGAAAAAATAAAACCTTTTTGAGCCCTTTCCCCCTGACATAGTCCCTAGGTGCTTTCTTGAGAGAGGACTGTGATCCTTTGTTAGAAGGGATGTAGCTGGCAATTCAAGAAGTGAAGGGTGGCACATTAGTAGTTATAAAACAGAATGTCTGCCAATTGTAACCTAAATTAAAACCCTTTAAAGGAAACCGATTTTTGGAGTAAGAAGGAAATGGGTCATGTTAGATCTACTGATTCAAATGCCGGACAGTGTGAAGTTTCACATGTCAAGCCATCAAAGAACTGTGGGATGGATTAGATAAAAGTGCCAGGAGCCCAGCGTGAGTTTTGCTAAGACTCTCTGATGATAGAGCTTTGCACCTTTAAGACCGGTACAGGTTTTTCATTGTGACCCAATGACAAAAATCAAATGGTAGTCATGGGTAAAATGTGCGTGGAGATAAATTCATTAGTTATATTTGTAGTGCAGAGAAAAATATATTAAATGTAAAGAATTTTGAAAGAGTAAAGGAAACGCCACATCAAAGTCATGCTAAAATACCATAAAGACTGAGAATTTCTTATAGGATGGCCCAGCCCTTGCCAGAATCTATGTAAAGCATATGCCTACTTATTGATAAGCTTGGGAATGACTGAATAGAGAAGCTGGGAATATGCTTATTATATTG